GGATGGGGCTACAGAGTTATTGCTGTGAGTATTCTCAGTCCTATGGTGGACTTGTGCTTGTTGCTCTGGGTAGAGGTTGGATAATGAACTTCTTAGTTTTGACATAGGGAATCCACCAAAAATCTTTGTAGTTAGCATATGGATCCAGGCTGGCATCTGCTCTATGTCCACAGCAGATTTACCAAAACCTTGTTGACTTCTCAGCCTACTTTTCTCCTTGTGTGTCCTGGACAGAAGTATTTTTTGCCTCCAGCTGCATCTTTGTTAGCCCTGAGGCAAACACACGAGTTAATTCAGGGTTTCCATGTTTTCCTTTGGGATGGTGGATAACATGGTTCTTAGACTATATAATAGCTGCAGGTTCACTCCTTAAATCCTACCAGCCTGCTCTTCTGGGGCTTCTCAGCTCCTGAGCTGAACTGCTGATTTGTACAATATATTTGTACAATATAATTTGTACAATATATTTGTACAAATTTGTACAATATATTAAACAGCCTGGCTTTAGCAGCACCACTGCCTTTTGCAGCAATTAATGATTTCTGTATCTATTACACGCTACAAAATCACTGAAGAACCATTCCAGCCTCCCCTGCCACTGATCCCAGAGTGAAGCAATGCTGCATTTTCCCCAGAAAACTCTGCTCTGTGGCACTTTGTGTGTTTTTGTGTAACTGAGGGGGAGGTGTTGGCACCCTCAGGCTCTGGGGACCTTGAAGAGGAACTTCATGACATGGGAGAGGCACAGCACTGTCTCGAAACCTTTAATGTGGGACTGGTACAACTTTGCAGCAGATTGATCTCAGCCAGTTTTTTCTAACTTTGTGCTATTTTAGTTGCAGTATCCAGTGTACTGGGATCACCTTGAGTTCTGTGATGGATTCAGGAAACTCTTAGACCACCTTCAGCTGGATAAAGTGAGTGCTCCAAGACAAGGCAGTGGACAAATTGTTGCAATAAAAATCTGATGTTTGAAACAGCCTCATTTAAGAGCCAGTGCAAAAAACAGGATACAAAAATACAGCCTATAAATAAAGAGGCTGTGTTGCAATTTCACATTTGAAACTAGTTTATTTTTGAAGGTGAAGCTTTTGGAAATTGTCATACTTGACCTGAATTCAACTGCTATTCCAGGCCTATTAAATTGTATGGGTTATCTTCATTTTTTGTGAGATCCTTCCTAACTCACATAGTACAGAAGAGCACAGTCAAGTCTGTTGTGCTGGAATAGCTATAGAGAACAAAGTGAAATATTTGGGTTTTTTCTTAAGCTTGATGAACACAAAGAAATTAGCACTGTGAGTCTTTGGGAAACATTTCCTTTTGTTAGTATTTATCACATTTATATTGCACATAAAACCAGAAGATGAATGGAACAGTGATTCTTTCAAAAAATGGGTTATAAGGACAAGGCCAACTTGAATGACCTATTTTTGTAATGAAACACTGTGCTCAGAGGTCACATTTCATCATCTGTTTGGTTTTTTTTTTTTCCCTTGCATTAGGTTCACCTTTTTGGAGCTTCTCTGGGAGGCTTTCTGGCTCAAAAGTTTGCTGAATACACACACAAATCTCCCAGAGTCCAATCTCTGATCTTGTGTAATGCCTTCAGTGACACTTCTATTTTCAATCAGACATGGACAGCAAACAGGTAAAGAACACAGAGAGCAAGCAGACTCATGGCATTAATTTTTTTGCAATTAAATGTCACATTGATTAGTTGGATATGTGTCTAACCTGATTCCAGCCTGGGCAGGGGAGGTGTGGGATGGAATACTTGTGACTTCTAAAAGCACACCACAAGGAGAATGGAAATGTTAACAATCCAGAGTGTGGAATTAGATAAATTGTTCTGTGATCCTCTGTGTATGTGTGGTCAGATTTAAGAACTCTGCCTGTTGTCTAGCAAAACCATTTAGAGCAAGAAGAGTGTTGTTCACCATGTTTAAAGTATACTTTTGCCATGTAACTAGAAGTTTCTTCAAGGATTTAATCTGAAGTTAAAACACAAAGCCTCTGCAAGGAAAGAAAGCATTTTACAATACAGCATCTTGATGTTGAGTCCTTGGTGCTTGAAGATATTTTTACACCTTATTTCTGTTTTAGCTTTTGGCTGATGCCTGCTTTTATGCTGAAAAAAATTGTCCTTGGGAATTTTGCATCTGGTCCTCTAGATCCTGAGATGGCAGATGGGATTGATTTCATGGTGGACAGGGTAGGTGTGCTCTGATGGCTGTGGTGTCACTCTGGAGTTACTGACTGGGAGGTTGGAGATATTTCTGCTGCTTTCTTCATTCACTGACCCAGGAGGGAGGAGTGGGAAGTGGATCTTTAGCAGGTGTTGACTGTCACAGCCCCAGCAGTTCAACTGATTCACTGACCCTCTACCTTAGTTCTGTTTATTTGTGTCAATCAAGAGGAGTAAGGAACTGAGGTGGAAAAGGAGAAAATGCTGGGGTAGATCTGTAGGCCATGCTCTGGGGGCAGGAACAACTCATGGAATGTGGTTTAGGCATTTGTCTCCCGCAGAGTAATACTAAATTGGAATTACAACCTTCATCCCTTAAAGCTATCTTCTCTTTGGCTGTATTATTAATATTGCATTAACTTCCTGCAGTGAAATATGTTGTTAATCAGTGTTTCTCTCTACTGCAAGCTGGAGAGCCTGGGCCAGAGCGAGCTGGCCTCAAGACTCACCCTCAACTGCCAGAACTCCTATGTAGAACCTCACAAAATCCGAGACATCCCTGTAACCATTATGGATGTAAGTGAATCTCAATTTTTTAATTAAACACTATTTCCTCCCTTTGGCAGGTGGAGCCACACTATTCAGTCAGCAACTTAGCAAGCATTTGCAGCATGTAACTTCCTATTTATGGAAGCCTTCTGCTGACTGGGCAACACCGTGACTTTTCTGTGCTGCATTATGGATTAGATATTCTGTGCCATATGTTTCAATATTACAGTATTGGCTTGCTAGCTGTCAGTGCCCAGGTTTGCTTGTTTTCTCTTTCATTAACACCATTCCACAGAGAAGCTGAGGGTCTCCTCTAGGAGCAGCATGCAGGCAATCTGATGTAACAACAAACTCTGAGGTTCAGAACTCACTGCTGGGACTTGTTCCACAGGTGTTCGACCAAAGCGCGCTTTCAACGGAAGCAAAAGAAGAAATGTATAAGCTTTACCCTAATGCCAGAAGAGCTCACCTCAAAACAGGAGGCAACTTCCCCTACCTCTGCAGGAGTGCTGAGGTCAACCTGTACATTCAAGTGAGTTCCTGAATTCAGTCTATGAACGTGTTTAACCACAACAGCAGAAGGAAACTCCTGCTGAGTTTTTGTTACTTAACTTCCCTGTGTGCTCTGTGCTGCTGATACCAAAGGGCAGGGCTGGGAGCAGCTGTGTCCATGCTGGGCCAGCTTTGGGGGTTTTCTGTCCCTGAACTCTTGTACTCCAGAGCTGTGGTTTCACCCTCACAAAAGTTACTCAAAGGAATGTTTCTCTTTTACCAAAACACTGTGCTCCTACACCTGTTCCTGTGTTATTTCCCAACAGATCCATCTGCTGCAGTTCCACGGCACCCGGTACGCAGCCATTGATCCCTCCATGGTCAGTGCAGAAGAGCTGGAAGTCCAAAAGATCAGCCTTCACACCAGCAACGAGCAAGAGGAGCAGTAGGCTTGGCAGTGCCAGTGGAACAGAGGCATTGGTCTGGTGGTCTTCCTGTGTACAATCAACTGTTCCCACTCTGCCTTTTCCCTTGCGTTAGCCGATTATCACTGTGTGATTCCAGCAGGATCAACAGTCGGTGAACTACCCATGGACAGCAACCTCCAGCAGTGTAATGGGATAGATCTGTTTAATTTTTAGTCTTTGGATTCAAGGAAGCATCTTAGAAGACTACACTTTTAAAAATAAAAGACATTTTTTCTACCAAAGTCTTCACTGTATCATGTTCTTAAGCAGAACGGTATTTCTTTTTATATTTTTCACTCAGCTGTATATATTACCACATGCAGGTTGTGTACTTATAAGCTGACATATATTTTTGTTGAATATTTGATTTAAAAGATGTTTAAGTGTCAATATTGCCATCACTTATTTGCTTCATTCATTGTGTTGTAAGTTAGTTTGTTTCTATTTGAAATAAAGCATTTGAATTTTTAACCTTCTTGCTGCTTAAAAATGGTTTTCAATAAAAACTTCACTTTCAGCAAGTGACTCTTGTTTTGACTCCAAGAAAACAGCAGCTGAGCTCACTGCAGTCCTGGTTTGCCTCTACAAACACCTCTGGAAATGAAGAAACCACCACCACCTGCTTGAATTCCTCTCCAGCTTTAACTATAAGGTTGTACTGGTTTAGCTCTGAAAAAAAATGCTGTAGTGTTTTTTTAATAAAGATGACAAGATATAACTTGCAACTTTAAAGGGTAAAATCTAGATTTATTGAAATACAGACATTATTTTCCCCTTGAGCTGCTGTAAAAAATAAGTATGAAGGATTACATGACAAATGAAAAGATGTTTTGAAAAGGTCAGAGTCACCTATTTGATTTATAAACATACATGCTAAATGTACATTTACAAACAGCCTATGTTAATATTCTTCTCAAACTTTTTGTGAGGAGTCAAAGCATTAAAGATCACAACTCCGCAGGTTCCAAAAGGATTAAACAGTAGCTTTGCTTTTGCTTAAGTTCTCTTCTTACGGTGGGAATGTATGGACATGCCAAAGACATGAGACACCCCCTCAAATAAGGTAAGTAAAGAACATTCCTGAGAACAAAGCCTTTGCCCTCATTAACTTAAAAACTTGACAATTGAAAATTTATATACAAAACTGTGCTGTAGACAAGTTACAGTAGAACTGTTAATATTTCCTGATGCAGTATATGACAAGTAAGGCTCGCTCACCAAACTCACTGCAGTGCCCAGACCCTTTGGAATTGCTGATAAAAATCTCCCTTCTGTGTAGAGGCGTTTTTGACCATGGCCATTTGTTTTACCCTTGTCATTTCGTGTCCAGAAGGGTGCAGCAGTGCCAGCAGTTTGTGACAAGAAGGCCTTAGGTTGCATCTGCCTTCTCTCAGCAGCAGAGAAGTGTTTCTCCTGTGGCTCAGACCAGCTGAGGATGCTCCTGGTGTTACATTGCGGTGCACTTCCGTGGAGAGGTGGAGTCTGCGTTTGCTTTTTTCCTGATACTTTCTGTAAGAGAGAATGATCTGCTGCACAGAACAATAAAGCCATGGCAGGCTCTGTTCATTAATCAAACCTAAGAGAAAGAGATTACATGTAATGGAAGCAAGGGGGCAGAGCAGGTGCTTTCAGCTCGTGAGTTGGCTTCACTGAAGTTTTCCTCTGTGTATGTTGTCTAAGCACAGAATTTGGGGAAATTAATTCAAATAGATAATAGTGTGTGTTATTTGAAGAAAGACAAAAGTATTACCTGCTAAATCTCTTCTCCCAATTCCCACCAGGCCTTCATACAGTCCCTTGATTGGATTTTCTCCTGCAGTGATCACACCATGGAGCCAGATCAGCAACATTCTGTGGCCGTGTTCCCTGTAGCTTTTAGTGCCTGGCAGGATCAAACCACAGATGAAATCCCACTCTCAGAGTGCACGGCCCTGACCAGAGCAGTTTTCTGCCCTGGTGGGTTTGCACACCCCTCCCTCCTTTCTGGATTTTACTAGGAGGCTGTAAAGCATGGTTTTAATTCCTGGTTCTGATGTGATTGCTGGATTTATGTGGAACTTAATGGAGTGACTATGGCTGAGCTTGGGTTTGTTGCACAGCCTTTCATGGCAATAGTTTCTGTCTTCAGAGCACAGCTTGGCCCCTTGCTCATCATCCAAACTACAGAGTTCTTGACACAGCCAGAACTATCAGTGATCTGTTACTGACCCTCGGACCCTGCTTCTGCTAACATTTTTCTTAAATTCTAAGAATTCACTTCACTGCCTTCTTGCTACTCAAAAGAAAAAAGTAAAACCAGCAAGTTTCTTCTGTTCTGTAGAACAAGAATTGTAGCAAGAACTCACAGGCCTGCCAAATGTCTCCGAAGGAGTGAGCAAAGAACCACTAATTCCCCTGCTTGCGTGCTTTATTTCTAGACAAATTACAGTGTGTAGGTAATTCCACGTTCAGCAAAACCAGTATTTTTAACCTAACCTTTTGGTTACTTCAAATAAACCAACTCGTTTTCTTCATGCTTTGCTCTTACTACAGCTTTATCTCCTAGAAACAAATTCCAAGGAAAGAAAGGAAAATACCTGGGAAGCTTTTTTATACCTGTCCATTGTTGCTCAATGGCCCTAATGTGGTCATCGGTGAACTTCCAGTAATGTGCCAGCTTCTTCCACTCCCCGGGTTTGAGGTACTTAGTGGCTAATCTCCACATGACTGAGCGAATGTGCTGTGTTTCCAGCCTGTGATCCTGCTTAAAGGTCAAGTCCTTTGCCACCCATGCGCTGGAGTCGCTGTTCAGGTTGTCCTGCAGAACCAGAACAGGGGTGCTGCAGCAGTGCCTGTGGTTCTGCAGCCTCCCACATCCCCAGCTCTGTGGTCCCTGTGAGTTCTTTCTGGCACAGCTCATTTTTTTATTCTCTTTATGATCATCTCTGTTCTCATCAGGGTTAAAACGCCATTAATGGCCACTCAGCTGTGGAAGCCCATGCGGATCACGATTTGCATTTCTACACTCCCTTTTATCTGGGGTTTGGGGCAGAATCATTTAATTAAATCTGCTTCCCTGCAACATGAGCTGTGCTCACAGTGCCTACATGCCAGGCTGCATGACATTCTCTAGGGCTGCATGGGAAGCCAATGCAAGGGCCTGATACACTGAGCATGACTCCCAAAGCTGCACCTGAGCCACAGGCACATGCTCTCCTTTCCTTCCTTTGCTTCCCCCTCTGGAGCATTGCCACGGGAGGATGACCAAACTCTGAAGAACATGCAGGGGATGTGACATTGGGCTGTACTTTCAGCTCACTCTGCTCAGCTTGGTTTGGGCACAGGCTTGGGGTAGGCAGGGTTTCAGAGGGGAGATTGGGGCTGAGAGGCTGCACTTTGAGGGAGAAGTTGTATGACTCCAACAAGAGCTGTCTCCTTCCACTGCTGAAAAACTCTCAAAATCCCATTTTGGTGACCTGAGGCCAAGCACTTTTTCGCTCAAGTCCTTCAGCTTCTCCTTCTGGGAAAAGGAACTAATTGTATCCCTTTGGGAGCAGCTGTTAAATAATTTTTGGAAACCCCTATTCCCAGCAGTGCCGCCTGGGATTTCTAACAGCAGAGACCTTTTTAAACAAGGAAAGCCTTAAGGAGATGCTGTTGGCATGGTGAGGACTTCTGTTTTTCTTAAGTAAGGGGATGAAAATAGAGGTCAGGCTGTCATGGCATGTCCTGTATTTCTTTCTCTTTGACAGCTGCTATGTGGAGTCTCAGTGGAGAGGAGAAAGCACAGGGGCTGTTGTGTAAGCTGCTCACCTTCTCCCATTTGTAAAATCGATCAGCTTTGATAATCATGTCCACCAAGATGATGTGATTGCCTCGGGCAGCAACATCCAGAGATGTTTTCCCTTGCTGAAATTAGAAAGGAAAAATGAGCTGTACCTTAGCAGGTACAATCTCCACAGCCACCCAGCATCTGCAGCAGCTGGCACGTGGACTATTGAGGGATGCAGCCACCAGGACCTGTTCTCCACCTGTGAACTTCAGATGTGAGCTGGTGTCAAGCTCCTGCATTCGGGGCATGGGCAGTGGTTTTCCAGCCTCTGCAGCATCTCCTCTGTTGCTACAAGAGATCTGCCTATTTTGCAGGAGCCACTGGAAAAGCTTCACCCACCAACTGGAAAAGCTGCAACCCACCAACATGAGAGCAACCATCAGAGAACCAGCTCAGCTCTGCAGTCCAAGGTATTTTATAGCCTTTTGCACAGCAGGTTTGCTGACACATGAAACCAAAGTGATTTATACAACCTCATTAACTTTACAGGCTCCAGATACACATGATTAAAAATGGTCTCCTAGGAGAAGCACAGGCTGATGAGACTATGAAAATGTGGCTATGTTCCTTTCATGAATATGATTTTGGATTGGGCAGGGGGAGATTTGTATTTCTATCTAAAATCAGAAGGCAGAAAAGAATGAGACTTGAAAGTTGCATGAAGGCAAGTGAGCCAGCCCAGGCACCAGGCATAACAGGAAGAACAGTTCTATCCTCAGATGTGAGCAGAAACCCAATTTCATACAGGAAAGTGTGAATGTGTCCCCTGTGCTGAGTGTCACTGCAGCTCCACAGAGTGCTGAAAGGTGACAAACATTCATCACAGCTGAAGGCCAGTTCAGCCAGGTGGCTTCAGGTCTGCACTTGCTCTAACCCACTGCAAATGGAAAACAATATTTTAATCCCTGCCCAAGGGCCTCCAGCATTTTTGGGCACAGACTACATTTTCAGGGCTCTTGAAATTTGTTCTGTTGGTTTTATTATTTGCCAAAAGCCCCAGAACTGTGCCAGATCTATACCAAACAGATCCTTTCAACCTATTAGAATATATGGGCTGTAATTTTTCAGGTATATTACTTACCATTATTTGAGGTAATCTTTGATATTACTGTTCATCACAGTACAAGTAGAAGGAACTAGAACAACTTTGAGAAGGAAAGAGTTGTTCATTGTGTTATCTATTTTCTACCTGCCTAAGAACCAGTCACTTCTTTCCTGCAAAACACATCAAAATAACCTATTCAACTGTGTTTTAAGGGCTTATCTCTGGAAATATCAAAATTTTAATATTACTAGCCTTTCTTGAAAATTATGAAAAACATTAGCAAAGACCATCTATGTATATTTTCCCTCCATACTCCCACAGAACCTGTTTCACCCATGGAGACCTTTACCTTGTCTGTCAGCTTCAGATTAACTCCTGCAATGAGAATCATCTCAGCAATGTCCTGCCTGCCGTGCTCTGCAGCAATGTGGAGTGAGGTCTGCTGCCTCTGCAGAAGGAGGGAGAAAGGACTACACTTCAGAGGACAAGGGTGAGGCTGGAAGGACAGAACACTACCAGGAGGAGCTTGGGACTGTTTAATGGAAACCAGTAAAACTGAATATAAATGTGTCAATTTTACAGCATCATCAGTAGAGAACGTCACTACAAGTATGAGGATTAACCAAAACAAGCTACACAAAGCCCCTCATTCAGAAAATTACAGTTTGGTGAGACAATCAGCTACCTCCAGCCTTGCCTCCAATTCTCAGCCCTCCAAACATTTTGCAGAATACATTCCATCTTGAAATTCCTCCTACCTGCTTCCAGCAAGGGCAAGAGAGCCTGACTATGCAATGTTGCAGGGGACACAGCACTGCCCTCATGTTGAACACCCTCAAGTGATTACCTGACTGCAACACTTAGAATAATTTCACAGGTTTCACATTTCCTAAGCTGCGCTTCCAGGTTCTCCACATTTTAAAGCACTCCTCTTTAATCCTGTCCCAAAGTGACAAAATCCCCATGAAACTGGTTCACATTTCAAACACAAAGAACAGGAGCCGCAGTCTTACATTATCTGGAATGTCAAGGTCACACTCTGCACTGATGAAGAGCTTCACCATGGCTGGGAAGTTCTGCAGGACTGCGATGTGCATTGCTGATGCATTTTGCTGTGGAAAGAAGATCCTGCACTTAGGGAGAGCTTAGCTCACAGCACTGAAAGGACCATGCTGTGCCCAGCATGTCCTATTCTATCACAGCTGCCAGTCTGCACTGGGGGCTGATGGGGATACTGCACTAGTACTTCCAGAGTTGCTTTGTGCCCTTGAGCAGCTCCGTGAACTGGCTTTACCCTTTTTGTTAGTGGTGAGAGCACTGAGAGGGACTCACATGATTGAGAGCATCCGTGTGGATTCCTGCATCCATGAGGATCCTGGCTATCTCCTCATAGCCGTGCAGTGCTGCATAATGAAGGCAGTTCATCTTTTTCTGAGAGGGAAGTCAGAAGAGAGGAGTGTTATTCAGGGATTCTTCCCAGAGGCTGCAGTTGTTACAGACTGCCCACAAAGAGCTCCCTGCAAGAGTCCTATGGCCCAGCACTGACAAATTCCTGGAGATTGTCTCCAGCCAAACCAGTCCCAGGGAGCTTCACCTGCCTCTTTGTACAAAACCATGTTTACCTTCCTCTAAACTCCCTGTGCTATTCCTGAATGCAGGGCTCCACATGACCTCTCTCTATGGGTGACCTGGGAAGTCACAGGTCTGGGCATAAATCCACAAAGTAGGGTTTGGGAATGGAATCACCTCCATGGAGCTAACCTGGGTTTGGGCATTGACATCAGCACCCGCTTCCAGGAGCAGCTTCACACAGTGGCTGTGTCCCCCCTCAGCAGCCAGGTGCAGAGCCGTGAGTCCTTCCTGCACAAGGCAAGAAAGGACACAAGCAGCATTTCTGTAGACAAGGCCAAGACTGAGCAGCAGAATGAGTCACAGACTCTACCCCATCTTCTGAATCCATGACATGTTACAGTACCAGTTCTGAGGGCCAGGGATCTCCAGGTGACTGTTACGAAAATAGAGAACACAATTATCTGCCCTGGACATACCAGAGTACTGCTCTGTCCTGAATGTCACTGGCTCTGGGCCACAAGACAGACATTGTGTTCACCATCTTTCCTCCCCTCCAGCCCATCAATAAACCAAAAAGGATTTCACATGGACAGTGAAGACAAACCATTTTCCTGGAATAACGCAGAGACAGAATTTGAAACCTGTAACCCTCTATCACTGGTTTTCCCTTCTGAGGGCTGCAGCTCATTTCATTATAAGAAAACAGAAGCAAGCAAGCAGAATTCCTAAGTGATTTCATCTGGTTTTATTATTGCTCTTTGCACAAAGGGCAGCTTATGGGGGTAGACAAATGCTGCCAGTTACCACAGAAGGTGGCTCCCCCTTTCCTTCAGATCTTAATCACAATCAAATACACTTTTCAAAGACAGTAACCAAATAAGACTAAAAAAAATGCTGATAAACTTAATTGGGAGTGTGCCCTGGAATAAATAACAGTGATACTAAGCCAATATTTGCTATCTAAGTCATTAACTGTGTTCCAGCCACATAATTTTCCAGAGCGGATCTGTCAAAAGAGAGATCTCAAACAGAAGGCCCATATGTTCAGTGACTAAGTCAATACTTTAAAGCACGGTGAAGTTTAGTTTAAAACACACTCAATAACCATTTAGGCACTTGAATGTACAAGGGTCAGGGAGAGAAAGGGAGATTAAATGGAGTGATAAGGTAGGTGTGCAGATACAGCAGGAAGAGAAGGCAACACTTTAAAGCCGGAAATTGGTCCAAGACGGATGTTGCCTTTCACTGATACTCTGCAAGTGTGACCTGCCTTTACCCACACAGGCTTCAGATAAAATCAGCTATTTTCTAGACCTATCCTGTCAATACTGGCTTTTCAGCCTGATGACTGTGGCAGAAGAGTATTTCTAGGGGGGAAAAGGGCAAAACTGATGTGGTTTTGATTTAATTTAAGTGTACTTACTGAGTTTTTTTCATCAAGGTCCACTCCGACATCTATAATCTTCTCCAGCACAGAGAGGTGTCCATTTTTAGCAGCTAAATGTAATGCTGTATTTTCTTCCTGAAAGTAAACATTACTTTATAAACATATGTCTCACAGGACTGAGTGTTCATATACCACAACCTTGCACAGAGTATATCCAGTGTGGCTGAAAAGGAGGTTGTAACCAGTAGCACGAATATGAAGCAATCTTCCTACAGTTGCAGCAGCGAGGGTAGAACCCCTCCTACCTTAAACTGGAGCACAGTCCACCAGACTTGTTGTGCATCCTGCCTGAAAAGTCCTGGAGAGAAATCATGAACTGAGCAAGAAAATGGCTTGAAGTGGATAGGGAAGAAAAGCCTGACATACCACAGCCATAGTAACAGCTGTGGACAACTTGCCTGCCTGAGCCCCATTTGGTATTCTGTTCCCTGGTTTTCATATCCCCTAATCCCTGGACTTCACCTCCCTTGCATGTGGTTTTGTGCCCGTACCTTGTCTTTGGCACCATGAGAACAACCCAGTCGAAGGAGGAACTCCACCACCTCCAGCTGCCCGTGCTCTGCGGCCAGGTGAAAAGCTGTCCTGTCCATCTTTGGAAGGAAACAGAGAAACACAGTCCAAAAGGCTCAGAAAACACAAGATCAGATCATCTGCTGCAAGAAGCTTGACCAGAGCCAGAATCCCCATCATCCCTAAGCTTACTCTGCAGGAAGACTTCTTGGAGTAGTGTCAGACTCTGATTCTCTTCCCAAGACCAAGGGCAACACTCCTGCTAAACTCAGCACAGCAAGACCAGACTTCGTAAAACAAAGCTGTGAAAAGACTTTCTACCTTGTCTGTCTCATCCACACACATGTCCTCCAAGTCCTCCATTATGAACTCCATGACCTGGATGTGTCCCCTCTGAGCTGCACAGTGAAGCAGGTTCCTGCCATTCTGGAGAGGAGACAAAGGACTGCTCACTCAACAAGTCCAAGACTGTGGGACAGTCAGTCTCTTTTGACAAACTGCTCCTGTTAGCAAAGGCCTATTTCATCCTCCCTGCACCTCCAGGACTAAAATTCCTTATGCTGCAGACAGCAAGTTATGACTGAAATATTAGTCCCCCTTTTCCCAGATGAGGTCTGGTTTAGAATACAAGGACTGCTGATTCACTAAACCCATTTTCCATTTCTGTAACACCTTCCACATTAGCACTGCAAAACATGAGGTGAGGAAGCTGTGTGCATCTCCAGAGCTCCAACTATTACAGCTGCTTCTGGGATAAGTCAGAGTGCAGATGGCAGTCCCCAGAGCAGATGCTGTCACACACAACTGAGCTCACAGGTAAACCTCTCCCTGTCCCTGTCTAGAGTGAAGTGATGGAACCACATGGGGAGACTCTCACCCTATTGGCACAGTTAATCTTGGCCCCAGCATTGACAAGGATCTGCAGGACACGGAGGTGGCCAAACCAGGCAGACAGGAGAAGAGCATTCATTCCAAACTGGGCAAGAAAGAAGAAAGATATTTACAGTTAAACTGCAGCCATCACCATCCCCACCCTGAGGGAAGCTGTCTTCTTAGCTTAATGAAGTTTTCCAAATCTATTTGTTTCTCTCTGGTATATTTTTTTGTTGCACTTTCTCCAATTATTGTTATTCCTGTCACTGAGCAGAAACCTGCTTCTTGGCAGCTACTACCTATTTAATGGTATGTATTAGCCTGACTGTATGGGGGAGAGAAAAAACTCTTTGGCTGTCACTGTCATCCTACAAGACCCACCAACACAATCAGAAGAAGCCAAGCATTCCCATGCTCTATGGAAAACTTCACAGATTCTACCAGCCTATTCCAAGTCACTGTGCATGCAAGGAAAAGACCAAAATACAGAGCACAAGCACATGTGCCAACAAGGCTTGCTCCAGCCCCTTGCTCAGCAGGTGCAGCGTGCCACCCTGTGCCACCCACCCAGGGCTAAGGTGCAGTCTGTTAACTGCTGGCCTAGCACCCAGTCCCTGGAGCTGCCCCAGCACTGAACACATCTGCAGCACATGCAAGGCAGAGTCGCCTCTGTACACTGTCTTCGTCATCCACAGGGACGTCGTGATCCAGGAGCAGCCGCACAGCATCCACGCTCCCTGCTCCCGCAGCCCAGTGCAGGGCAGTCCGGTCTGCCTGCAAGGAAGGACAGAGGCAGGGAAGCCTGATGTGTGCAGAGTGTGTGTATCCACCAGCCTTTCTGAAGGCCAAAATATCTTTGGCCATCTATGAAGCCAGAATTTCTCACACTGCACAGTTTTCTTTGGATGCAGCCCTCTGTCTCTGCTCTCCTGTCAGGCAGAGAGGTGTCAGTCACCTTCTGCTCAGGAGCTGCAGTTCTGGACTATAATGACAGCACAGAGTGAAAAACATTGCTGACCATAAATGGACAGACTGAAACACTAGGGATGGGGGCAATCCTGTATCTCCATGAACTTACTAGTCAACAAGGAAAGACCTGCACCAGAAACAGAGTTTGTCCCACAGTCTTACTCTACAGAGACAGCAAAATCAGAGCCTTTCATGGCAATCATATCTGTCTGGCAATTGCAGCTATCCAGTGTGGCCAGGATGATAGTTCTGGGGGGTCTCAGTGTGTTGTGAAAACTCCATGGTTGCCACAGGCCCTATTTGGCACTGGGTGTTGTATTTTAAAGTTTTGACAAATTAAGCAGTTAATGAGAAGAGTAGCATTAAGGAGCTGCAGTTCTGAAACACGCCCTTAGCACTTCCTGCAGCGTGGAGGTGGAAAAACCCAGGACTTACATTGTTTTTGGCTTTGATGTCAACTCCTCTCCTGATGAGTTCCTCCATCCTGGCTGTATCATTTCGCTTCGCCGCATCATGGAACTCCTTCTCTGACTGAAGCACTGCAGCAGAGCAGAAGAGTGAGCATTAAAACAGTGCTGGCAAGGGGCAGGGAACAGCATGCCCCAACAAACCTCCCCTTCATCTCACCGGGCCCCGTGGCTTCAGGGAAGGATGACTGCAGAAAGATTCTTCCAGTAAGAATCCCAGACCTACAGATGTAGGCATGTTTGCTGGATTTAGATTTCTACCACTGTCTCTCTGTTCCCTGACTACCCCTGTGCCACATCAGTGCTCTTCCAGTCCTACCCACTTCTCTTCTAATTCAGTGTCTTTCTTGGCATGGATTTGCTCTAGCTGCAAAACCTTTTGATCCATGAGGTCCATATCTTCTGGGCACCCTCTGAGGCCCAGAGTCAGTGTGAAGGCTCTGAGATGACACAGACCCTTTCCTCCATCCATCCTTACACCTACATGCCACTGCTCTACAAGGAGGCCTTTACACATGGTTCCCCTCCAGGCAACCTGAACCAGCCAAGCAGCACAAAACTGCCAGCCTGGCCTGTGATTAGTGTTGCATCTCTTAATAAACCATGGCAGTTCTGCACATAATTTACCATGACTGGCAGTATTTGTCCTGCACAGTTAGGCACAACTTAAGAGTGTTTACTCTCCATGCTGGGCCATGCCCCAGCAATCTTCTTCTTCATCAAATAAACCTTCCTGCCAAGAAACAAGAGCAAGGCTGTGACGGCCACAGCCCAACAGGGAGGCTCTGAAGACTTTTGGCAAGGCTGATGTCGGCATTTGTTGGACTCCGTCTCTGTCCTAGGGCTTTTGGGGAATTCTTTCAAGAAGTGCTTGAGTCAGACCCTTGGCCTATCACATCCTACTGGAGAGCTGGCCCAGAGGCTCTGCTCTCTTCTAGACTTCTCCAGAACCCAGGCTGTAGTTTGAGGGGCTCAATGCAACTTCAGTTTGTTCCAACATATCAACTGCATATTAACCATATGCCATACAAAAGGCATAAAAGATATTATTGGTCCCATTCCACCACACTGAGGGAGAAAATCAGGAGACTTGCTGCCTAAATAACAGAATTAATCTCTTTGGAGGACACAGAAGAAAGGCATCCCTACCGAGGACTCTTAGAGCAAGAGAGGTATAACCTCATCCTCCAGTTTCCATTCCCCTTGCCTTCAAACAAAAGAACTTTAGCTCAAGAAAAACACAAATAACACAAATTTTAATGCTAGACAGGATCATTCAATAGTATGTTTATCCACTTAACACCAGACATGGTCATCTGAGAGTGTGAATTCAAGAGTGCTGGACCTGCTGCTACAATGAAGGCAGTAGGATTTGGACACTGATTTCTGCAAGAAACAGGATTTCCTATACTGTATATTAAGACTCTCTTATCACCTTATCAGCTATGTTAACAGGATTGCATTTCACCCTGCATGGACCCTTCATTTGAGAGGAAATATCAAGAGAACCTGTGAAAAACACGTTGAGATTTTGTTAATTATTAACACCAATGGCTACACACATAACACCTCCTTGTACAAGCATCTCCCTTCAGTGGAGTAAATCCTATGCTCCGATTAAGCAAATGCTGCTGACCCTGCTCTCCAGGTGACAAAAATGTTTTCTTACATTTTATGGACAGACAAAGCATCATTTCCAAGAGATGCCAAACCACCTTAGTTATTCTTTGTACTAGCAGTGAGGATGCAGTAACAAATCTGGCATTGCCAAGGCTGTAGAAGCCGCAATTTATTTATTTTCAGCAACACATGAGTAACAGTTTGATGGTCTGAGTTTCCTGCTTAAGACCCACAGTGGCTCTGGAAGTGTAAATGCACTCTCATCACGGCATGCACCTGTCCAAAAGCAACACTTCAGTGGATATTTAGCAGTGTTCCTTCTCTTTCGAGCTCAGATTCCAGGGTACTTCATAGCGTACTGAATAAGAATTCAGTTACTGAACAGGAATTCCGTTACCACAAACAGCGTGGAAAACATTTTAAATTATTTACCCTCAATGCAATGCACCAACTCACAGGCGGTTTATTATGCAAGAGATGTAGAAAAGCAGCAAAGGAGGAGAAAGACATGCAAAGAAACGTGCAAAACCCATCCACCGAGCCCCACCTGGGGCTGCAGGACACAAAGACAACTTGCGACGGGGACCGAGGGACCAAGGAGGCAAAAAACCCCAAGTGCGGGGTACCAGAGTTATGTGCAGCATCTCAACGGTGTAGGATGCTTTGGGGCAACAGCAGTCCTGATTCACGGGTAGCTTTAACCACCCGCTTTGTTTCCGAGCGGATTTTCAGGTGTCCGGTTCTATTTCAGGGCATCCCGGCTCTGCCCCTCAGCCCCGCCGGCTCCCGCCCGCCCCTGCCACACGAATCGCCCCTCACCGCTGGGGCAGCCCCCGCCTCGGCCCCACTCACGGGTGTCGCCTTCCGACGCCAAGTCGTCCCCCATGTCGCGACAGAGCGGCCCCGCCGCCGCCGCCGCCTCAGGGTGGGCTGACAGGCGCGTCCCCGCCGCCTCAGAGCCGGCTGACAGGCGCGTCCCCGCCGCCTCAGAGCCGGCTGACAGGCGCGTCCCCGCCTCCTCGCGGGCCACCTCGCCGCCGCCGAGCTGCTCTTTTGCTGCTCTTTAAAGCAAAAGATCATAAAACAAGCCCGTTTCCCGGCAAGCACGGTATTTTCGGGCCGTCTGGGGAGGACTTGAGCGGGGACATCCAGTTGCCGCCATTTCGGCCAGGTGCCGCTCCTCACCTTAGCGCGGCTCTGCTGGGTGCTGCTGCTTCGAGGTGGTGGGTGGTTTAATTTAAAATTAATTTAATTCTGTTTCCAGAGCAGTTTGGGAGGAGAGGGATTTCTAATCAGCAGGAAATACGGGGGGTTGTTTTTGTTTTCTGCTGAAAGCAAGGCTCAGGGATTGATGTCTCCTGGGAATGAGGTGCTCTTGTTACCACAGGTCCCTCAGCAGGTGCAGGAGGGGGCAAAAGAGTTTTTCCCTCAAAGTTTTAGTGAATTCTCCAGTTTCAGCGTCTGGCCTGGTTTTATCTTTTATTTTGTTCTCCATTTTGATAGTATGATGAGGAAGAAACCAGGGTGAGCTGATGCTGAGGGGATAACCAGATCTGTTTCTGTGCGTCCCCCACAGTAATTCCCCCCCGTAATACTGCTTCCATCTCTGGGAGATCCCAGCATAAGAAGGGCATGGAGCAGCTGGAGTGAGTCCAGAGGAGGCCACAGAAATTCTCCAAGGGTTGGAGCACCTCTGCTCTGGAGCCAGACTGGGAGAGCTGGGGATGTTCAGCCTGGAGAAAAGACAGCTCCGGGGAGATCCTATATGAAGCCCCATCCCTGGAAGCATCCAAGGCCAGGTTGGGAGGGGCTTGGAGCACCCTGGGATAGTGGAAGGTGTCCCTGCCCATGGAAGGTGATGGAACTGGAGGATCCTTAAGGTCCCCTCCAGCGCAGATCATTCTGTCATTCTTTGCTGCTGGTCTCAGAATAGGAGAGGTGACATCAGGTTTGTATCCCGTCCCTAGACCATGCTGGCCCACAGATGGTCTTTGTCAGGACTCCCTGGAGAAGTATCTCTCTGTGTACCGCTGATTTTGACTGTGAGCTCACTCTGATGCCTGTCACCACATGAGGGTGCCAGTGCTGTTCACCTGCCACGACTTCCTGCTCTAGCAGGGTGTAGATGGGGCTGTTCCCTGGGCTGGGGACAGTTTTGGGGTACATCCCGATCTCGGGGACCCTTGCGTGGATCCGTGCTGCTCCTGTGAGAGAGAGTGGGGCGTTTGGTGTGTTGAGACATGACGGGAGGCAGATAAGAGACCCTCTGCTTCTCCAAACATGTCCCTCTGTGCACACCAGAACTGTCTTCAGGGCAGGGAGACAGTGGTTTCCATTTCATTGAAACCCATCACCGATGGATTCAGTAGCCAAGTGCTTGCTAATCCATTTGGATCACTATGGCTTGGCCTGCCCAGCTGTGAAATGGGGAGGTGGACCCTAAGCTCTTGAACAAATACAGAATGTGCGGAGGTTTATGGATAGCTGCTTCTCTCAGAGATTTGGATTTGTGTTTTGTTTGCCTTTTATTCAAACTGAAGTTAAAAAAAAAACACCACTCTATCTGGTAGGAAAAGTGAACATAAGGTCTGTCTGGATAAAGGGGAAGCCCTTCTTTTGTACAATAGCTTAGCGGGTAGAGCATCCTCCCCAAGGAAAGGGGAAAGCTGGGCTTGATCCTTGTTTCTGCCAGAGGGGAGATGCAAACCTCGGGCCACACAAGACCCCAGAGAGCACCGCAAACAACGGGCTGCAAGCATGTCTGATGCGGAGAGTTTTTCTTGCTCTTTCCTGTTACTTTAAATAATTAATGATTTGATGGAGCAGGGAGTGGAGAAGGCAGGTGTCCTGTTTCCCTGGGGAGCAATCTGTGCACCCGGCAAGACGGAGTCTTGCGCTTTCTCGATGAATATTTAAGTGTCTTCAGACAAACTGGAACGGCGCCAGCAGGGGTGACTGAGAAGGGATGAGCCCTTCCCACTGGGTATCCTAGTGCCTGGGGGCTGGGGAAACAGCCCTGAATAGGGCAGGGAATAATCCCTGCTTGCACGGACTATGGAGGTACTGTGCATCCCAGCCTTAGATGGGACCTCTGGCTCTTGCCAGCCTTTTGTTATGCTGTAAGAGATCATTGGATGGAAAGCTGTCTGGATTTAAACTGCCGCTGTTAATGTCATTGTCTTCCAGAGCTTGGAGCAGCCAGGACTCATCACCCACGGCTCTCCTGCGGGTTAATGCTGATCTCGGAGGAGGAACAGTGCAGATGCACTGAGAGTTCGCATCTGTTTGTGAGCTTGGATGTTTCCAGCAGGCAGAAAAAAAGGCAGTGTAGGCAGTTCCTTCTGTCCTTCCCAAAGTGGTATGTGTTCAGGGGTGGAAGGGACCAAGACTTTCTGCTGATACTAAGTACAGAATGCTGCGACGATTTATTAACGACACTGAACATTGGCCTGGCGATCCATTTATTAGCTAACAGACCTGAAACAGCTCTTGGATTTTTCCACTAATGTTGTAGCACAGAGAATGACAGGGGGAGGTGATAATTTGACCCCTTTTTGCAAAATATTCCAGACATTGACCCCATCTTCAGGATGGTATTAAAATCTTCGACTTTATTTCACTTGAACAATAATTTTAGCTGAGCCAGCTTTGTGCTCTTTCCCACTTAGAAGTGAAGCTTTCTGTCAGAAAATTTTGTGCTCTTATTTTTCATGCACAATTTTTAGGTACTGCTTTAGGATAATCATTATTTTTTATCACATTCAAAAATCATGAGCCAGGCTGCTTAAATCCATGTAATTTTAAAATGTGCCTCTGTTAGCTCCCTGGTTTAGTTGTATACAGTGTGATTTTCAAGCCACTCAGGTTTGCAGTTAGCCATGTAATACAGCCCACAAACCAGTATGTGTTTATGCAGAAACAGTTGCTTACCTAGAGGTTTAGCAAATTGGACTTTAATTTATAATCTTCCTTTGGAAGCAAAACTGGAAGGTGACTCCTCCTGCCTGCAGCTGCCTGTAATTTGGGAAGCCAAGCTTCTGCTTCTCTGGAGGTGCCCATAGCAGGAGAGCCTGGCTTGAGGAACAGCCTCCATCCTTGGAGGATTGTCTTTTTTGGCATATGCTGCCACAGACAGAAATTGAATATTGCATGGGAGAGGGGATGACCACGTTCCTCTTTCAGTGCTGACGGACTGTTTTTATGTGACAGGGTGTCAAACTTCCCAGTGTGCTGAGATAGCAACCATGGGCTCTGCCTGGCAGCACCTGAACCAGACCTTTGGGCCCTGTGATACACAGCTGCCATTGATGAGGAATTGTGTTTGTGCTTCTTTATGTCCCTGCTGTGAGTATTCACAAGGGACCAACCATGCCAGTTCTGTGCTCTTTCAGATACGTCCCATTAGAATGGAATACACGTTACAGCTCTGGCTACATGGCTTCATGTGTGGCTCCAGCTTATTTATTTTTTGTCTGAGTTTGGCTTTTAGTTGTTCTGTAGACTAGGTTATTTTTGGTGCTTTCTTTGATAACTCTGTTCCTGTGACATGCTGCGGAGCCAGAACTCCTCTGGGAACATCCCAGAAATGCACACAAACATCAGCCCTGTAGCTTCTAACACTCAACATATGGAGCTTTCAGAAGGCCTGGACACCTAACGGGACTCCGCAAACCCACTCTGGAAGCCTGAGAAGGGTTCCAGCAGTTTCCTCAAAGGCTGCATTCATTTCCTTGCAAGGCTTCCACAGAGGAACAGCTTGTTAGAGGGACCTGTGGAGCTTGGAAGCTTTGCCAATAATAATTCAGGCCCAATTCTGAAGTCAAATATTTAGCTAAACAGAGACTGTCTGATGACTGGATTAAACACAGACTGCATCTGAGTGAGCTCGACATTTCAGGTTTTTGTCAGTGTCCATTTCACGAGCCCATAATTCCATCTCTTTTCCTGTCTTCCCAGACTCAGCTCATGCTGTGTAGTGTTTCAGACAGCACAGAATGAGGTATTTCAGCAGAGCTGTTCCTTCTAGCTCAGGAAGCAGCCTGAATCACAAAGTGATGTTCTTTGCTTTAGGCTTAGGAATAATCCAGTATTATGGGATTGGGAGGAAATCATGTTAGAGAAACTGAAGGGTTTGTTTGTTTGTTGGTAAGAAAAAGTCTCAAGGAACCAGGCAGAGATGTCAGACAGGGGGCTGGTGAGTGAGCCTTGCCAGTGTGCTGCATGGTGCTGACACAGATAGCTCAGTCCATATTAACAGCAACTGGAAGTTTGAGCTGATGATTTGGCACTTCCCTCTCCTGTCACTCTCACTTCCCAAAGCCGATAGGCCTTTAAATCCCTTGTAAAGATAAATGAGCTTAAGCTTCTATGTAGCTTTGAAAGTGAAGCTTACATGTAATTAGCGCTGTGGCAGGGGTTGTTCCTGACCATCAGGCCACTCCTGTTGATCCCTGGCCTCCACCTGGAGCTTACTGACATATGGCCCTACATCTTCCAACTCAATATATTCTCCTTCCAGCTGTGGGGAATTGGGCTCACATTTATCCTGCAGGAGTACATGAGAGGTAAAAAAACACCTCCCCAGTATCTTTTGTATCTGAATGATACCTTAGAAATAACTGTAGGAGAAAAAAATTGTTATTTCTGTGATGCTTGGCTGAGGGAGGTCTAAATGAGCCCATTGTCTTCAGACTTTCTTAGTGCCTGAGGACCAGGTTTGACCAGTAGCTGGGAGATTACTGGTTTGACAGTCTGTGTCTCATGGTGGTGATCAGGTAGCAGTGGTCATTCTGTCTGTGCTTTGAACTGTTTGCCTTACTGGAATCACAGAACCTGATCTTTCAAAGCCAGGAATGTAACGTAGCATGGTCTTAAAACATCTACTGTGTGACCAAAAGCAAA